TCACCTTCTACCCCCGGCGCACCCCTCTGCAGCACGAGGCTCCACTCTGGATGGAGCAGCTCTGCACAGGCTGCATGAAAACCCCCTTCCTGGAGGAGATGGTGCACATCCGGTGAAGGGCCAGGTACTCCGGGCAGCAGCACACTGTGAGCCTGTACGTGGGGCTGGGCTGCTGGGCCAGCAGCACCTCTCTCTACCACTAAAGGGCGTTTGACACTTACGGCTGTGTGTAGATGGTGTGTTTATTTTTTTTTTTTTCCCCTTCACTGGCTCCATCCCTTTCCCTGAGGTGGTTTGCAGGCTGGACAGAAGGATGGGTGCTCGTTCTGGGCCGTAAGTACGTGAGCCACAGGGAGTGCTCTGTAGGAGTAGGTGAGATGGAGAGCCAGTGATGGTGGTGGGAAGCTGCCGCTCCCTGCTCTGTGCCCAGAGAAGTGGCTCAGAAATGGAGTCCCAAGTCTCTGGTGTGTGGTGAGCGTGACGCAGGCTCCCAGGTGAGCTGTGACAAGGTGTGTCAAGTCTGCAGTTGCCCCAAGGTCCTTGGGAAGGACGACGTGAGTGATTCTGCAGGTGGACAGGGCTGCCCACTGGGCAACCAGTGAAGTGCACCTGTGACTGCATCACAGATGAGAGGATCAGCAGTGTTACCTGTCCAGAACTGGCAGAGGCAGCCCCCAGCCCACTCCCCAGCAGACTGGTCTGTCCAGCCGGGGCCTTGGGTAGGTAACCATGAGTTACATGTGCAGGATGGGGCAGTCCTGTGAGAGAGCTGGGTGGGAGCAGGTCAGAAGGTCTAAAAACAAGTGGTTGGTGGCATGCCTGGTTTTTGCATGAGCTTAGTGTATTTTGGGAGGTTTGGTGCCATGTGACATCCATATTTTGGCAATTGCTACAGCATGGTCTGTTGGGAAGTGTTGGGCCTTTCAGGGAAGGTGTAGGGTTGTCAGCAGCGGTGGTAGCCTTCCAGCTGTCTTTGCTCAGATGTGGCTTAAGTTGTATGGAGGGGCTGGTGAAGAGGTCCCGGGGGGATTGCAAGCATGAAGTGCTGCTGGTTGTGGTGGGTCAGAAGCGGGAGTGTAGTGCCTCCTGAGGAGGAGGGAAGAGGTGACAGTAGTGATGCCAGAGCATAGAAGACAGGGGACAAGAGTGAGATCCTGGAGCCTCAGGCAGGTCAGAGTGATTTTGGGATGTGAGGGGCAGAAAGTAGGTTCTTTACTCAGCTGTTCTTGGCCAGGCTTCTGACTGTCCCAAGGGACAGGCAGGGCCTGGGGGAGGGGTGAAGGGGCAGCAAGGTGGGTAGGGGATGCTCACAGTTTGTGTCACGCTGATGCTGTCTGGCCCTGGGAAACAAAACATCCTGCCATCGGAATGCTGAATCTGTGGGATGAAGGGGTGAGAGGTGTCCAGAGGATGGGGGTGGAAGGTGTGGTCTGCAAGGGCCCCCAAGCATGCAGGAGAAGAGATGATGATGAATAATACTGCTGCACCATTTGCAGATGGCAGCAAGGGTGACAGTACCAGTACTGCGGGGGCAGTCGGTGTTGAGGTGACAGGTCGGAGTGAGCGGGAAGAGGGAAGGGATGCACTTCTTGTGCTGGGTCTGGCCATGCACGAGTGCAGTGTGTGCATGCTGGGTCTTTGGGCAGCATGGTGTGGCTGTGTGGCTGGGAAGGGCTGTCGGGGTGGGGGGAGGATTAGCATGGGGGCAGGCAGGGGTTGTTCGTGCAACAGCTCTATGGGCTGGGTGCTGTCAATGCGAGGGGGAGGAAGCAGGTTGGTGGGGAGGACCCTCTGCCAGGAGATGCCTCAGAGGAAGGCACCGAAGTACAACGTGTGTCAGCAGCCCTTACTGAGACACACACACACACACACACGCACGTGCGTACGTCTTTCCTCCCGCACGCCCGTCCCCCTCGGTGTGCCAGGCTGGCCCCTCAGTCTGGCCCTTGTGTCTCACTGCCTCGTCTTTGCGCTATGTGCCAGCCTGTCGCCGACTTCCAAAATGCCTTGCTCTCGACTCGGGGGCCTGACCCCTTGCTGTTAACGTAGCTGCGCTAATCACACTGTGTACGTGCATGTGGCACTGGCGTCTTTGTGCTGTGTGTACCGTGAAGGCTCAATAAACGCCTGCAGCATGCGGTAACTAACCGACTAACCCACTCCCTGCGGGGGCGGTGCGCGGCTCCCGGGGGGTACGGCCAGGAGCCGGGGGTGCAGCTGGGGCCAGGTGTCTGACACCAGGCCTGAGGGGGCCA